TCAATAAAGATTTAAAAAACATTACCATTATCACCTGTGGAGAGTGGTGACAGTGAATGGTAGAGCAGTGCCTGAGACTGGGGTCCCTTATGACTTCATGGCTGTGGCATACTTGGTGCCTAGGAAAGTTTCTGTGCAAAGGTGCAGGATGCTGGTTGCTATGATAATTCCCTCCATGAGGAGGCTCTGTGCTAGAGTCTTATCAGCCTCAACATTGATCTCAGGCACACAACTCTTGAGAATAAAGAAACCCTTTTGCTAGACAACCACAATGTTTCACTGGCTCTGCAGCTCCTGAACCTTCTCCCCTAACAGTAACTTTAAACAATAAACTTTCTTGAGAGCTACACAAGCCTCCCAACATTGTACATTGCAATTGTAGAATGTAACTGAGGAATAAGCTGCACAGTGTTGCAAACTCTGTAAATTTGATGAATTCAAAGAATAATGATTGCATAGACTTTAGTCTGATTAATGAGACAGATATAATAAAGATTGCTGGTATAATTCTTTAGACCTGCTTCTACATCAGAGAGCTGCTGTTATCTTTAAAATTTATATACATGAGTCTTTATTCTTCTAATCTTCCATTGTCCCTCACAGGAACCTGCTAGTTTGGCCACATCTGTCTTTGCAGTAGCCTGGCATGGTGGCACATATCTATAATCCCAGCAGTTCGTGAGGTTGAGCAGGAGGATTACAAGTACAAAACCAGCCTGAGCAAAGGCAAAAGCAAGGTTCTAAGCCACTCAGTGAAACCCTGTATCTAAATATAATAAAAAAAAATAGGGCTAGGGATATGGCTCAGTGATCCAGTGTCCCCGAGTTTAATCCCCAGTAAAACAAAACAAAACAAAACAAAAACATTACCATGGTACAATTACCACATCTAAAAATAATATAATTCTTTCATGTCATCAAATACCAAATAGTTCTCCAAATTTCCATGCTTATAATTTTCTTTTACAGTTGATTAGTGCTAGTGCCAGTTTAGAATGTAAGTCCACACACAGTCTTCACTTTTAATATCTCCATATCCCTCTCAATTTTGTGAGTACCTCTTCCTCCTTTCTTTAACGTTTGTTTACTGGATAATTGGGTCATGTATTTTATATGTGAGTTGGAAGGCTCTCTACCTCCCAATTCTATAGTCCCACTGCTTCTCAGTGGGATTGTCTGACTTGGCCTGCAAGCCCCTGTGTGCCTGTTAACTTGCTAGATCATGAGGACTGATCAGATGCTGATCTTTTGGAAGGTGGGGATTGCTTCCCAGATGTCTGTGCAGCCCTGACAGCACCACATGGGGAGACTGCTGATATCTGGGTGCCGTTTCTGGATGCTAACATGGATCTCTGGGTTTGGGTGCTGTCAGCATCACTGACTAGAATGAGGTTTCCTGTTGCACTTTCACTCAGGGAGCGACACTGATGATCACCTAGTTCCATTATTTTATCACAGTTGTACAATGGTGGGCAATGTCATTGCCTATGACCCAGCTCCTCTTCCATGGCCTGCTCTGTGGACACCATCCCTGAGCCTTCGCATCCCACGCCACTGTCTCAGGGTTGGGCATGTGTCAGGCTTCTGTGGTTGTTCAGACATGGGGGGATTCTGAAGCTGCAGAGCAGTAAGGCCCACAGTGCCAGCTTCAAGCTGGGTGCCTCCTTTCCTGCTGTGCTGCTGGGGTCACTAGCCTGTTGCAGCCTGCCTGAGGTTTGCCTGAAAACCCTTGCTCCTTAGTGGATCTTTCTTCATGTTGACGACTTTCTCTCCTGTGACTCATTTTCCTGCCTGCACTATTTATACTCAACTCCTCAAATCTTCATAGGGCAATTTGTCCTCTCCACACTCCTACCCATTAGAGTTGTGTCCAGAGGCCTCATCTTCCAATGAGTCACCTCCATAGTGCCTTGCTCAAATATCCAGGCTCAGCTCAAAAAATGATAGTCTATCATATTCCCACTAAGTTCAAGGTCACTGTGAAAGAGGGCTTTTGTATTCTCTTCTTACACATGAGAAAACTAATGCAGGAAACATGGGGAGAAGTGAGAACAACTGAGGTTTCCAAGAGAGGTGGACACCTAGGTGTAAAAGAGGGAGGCCAGGGTGTGACCAAATGGGAAGGGAGGCTGGGTGTGTTCTGCCCTGCAAGGCCGAGTCCATCCACAGACAACCAAACCTCCAATGACACTTTTAATTATGAAAAGGACACAATTGATTTGTGTTTTGGGTTGGAGGAAAACTGGAGGTAGAACACTCTGAGGAGACTTGGAGTTAAGAAGCCAGGCGAATGCTCTTCTAGGATTTGCCCCTTTGCATTTCGCTGGTGCTACAAATCCAGCTGCGGGAAAGTCAGTCAGCATCAGAACATCCTCTTCACCCTCCTGGGGAGGCTGCAAAGATGGGTCTTCACACCTCCATGAGTTCTTAGATGGGCCAGCACCAGGCTGCCTTCCAGGGAATGCTCTTGGCTTGTGTCATGTCCTGTGGTACAGCCAGGAGAAGGCCACCTGGCTGAGGAAGGAGCAAGCTGGAGTCACAAAATGGAGGCCCAGGCCCACTCCCAAGTCATCTTCTCTGGCCTCTGCCTGGCAGGGTGTTTGGAAGCAGACTCACACGCTATCAATAGGCAGTGTGCCCGCCAGGCAAGGGATCCTGAGGATGGAACAAAGCTGGCAAGGAGGCCTGTGCTCACCTCCTGCATCTAGCGTGCTGCACAGTCACCACACAATCTCCATGGTGAGGGGAGGGAGTGATACCAGGGACTTAGACACCTCCAACATCATCGCCATTTTGCTGAGGTGCAAAGCAAAGGTGTATAATGACTCATCCTTGGCTGTGAACATGAGGGTGGCAGAGCTGTGAAGCTGGCTCAGGCCTCCTGAGACCCAGCATTTGTTCTGCAAGAATGCAGTGCAGTGTGCTCCTCTCTTCCTCATCGGATGTGAGAAGAAGAGTCAGACCAGGGTTCCCAGCACAGCTGACACTCACGCCCCCGAGAGGCTTTGTTCCTTGCTTGTGGCCCAACTCCTCAAGCCACTAGCCAGTTGGTCACTCTGCTGCAGACATTCCTGGTAGAGAGATCCTTACTTCACACACAACACACACATTACCGGGCTGCCTTCTTCAGAAAATGTCTTCATCCATTAAACAAAATTCTGTTGCCACTGTCACACTGTAATACCTGACGGAAGATGCCAGAGTTATGAGTGAATCTCAGGTGAGTCCCAGACATGTGCAAACAGGAGCTTGCACTTCCCACAGCAGAGGCAGCCTGGGGGTGGTCAGGCACCTGGGCACTGAGAGTGTTAACCAGGCACCTGCTTCAAATCCCACCACAGTTGCAGCTGTGACCTTTGAAGGGTTACTGAAGCTCTCTGCCCTTCAGTTTCTGTATCTTTTTCAAGGGAATGGTTTTCTTAATTGCCCATTGTTAAGTAAGACCATCCATGCAAGACCCAGTGGACAGAGTCTGACATACACTGAGCACTCAAACCAAGAAAGTTCTTTTTGAAATTAAAAAACAAAAGTTCAGCCTCTCTCTAATAAGGGTGAGAATAAGACCAAGCTTCCATAAAACACTTTGGAGGAGGAGAAAAAATGTCATGATATTATGGTGTAAATGTGTGGTGTCTCCAAAAGCTGGTGTGTGGGATAATGCAAGAAAGTTTGGAGGTGAAATTCTTGGGTTATAGGCTCCTAACCTGCTTTAGTCCACTAGATTACTGGGTGGTGACTATAGCTGGTAAGATGTGACTGAAGGAGGGGGTCACTGGGGCATGACTTTGGGGTTTATATTTTGTCCTTGCTGAGCTAAGCAGTCTCTCTCTGCTTCCTGGTGCCATGTTCTGAGCTGCTCTCCTTCACTGTGCTCTTCTGCCATGATGTTCTGCCTCACCTCAGCCCCAGGGCAGTACCATTAGCTATCTAGGGACTGAGACCTCTGAAACTATGAGCCCCAAGTAAACTTTTCCTCCTCTAAAATTGTTCTTGTCAAGTCTTTTAGGTACAGGGCCAAAAAAGCTAACTCAAACATCTGGCAAGAGTTAATATGTTTTAATTTAAAGTGGAAAATTGTGTAGGAAGAACAGACTTATCTTCCAGAGGTTAGTCCCAAAGCTCACATTTTTCAAGTACTTTATCTCCAAAGCTTACCTAGAATGTGAAGGATATCTGCATCTGGATTCAGCAGCTTACCCATCATTACCATGGTGACATTCTGGATTCAGCAGCCTCATCCATGTTTACCATGGTGACATACTGGATTCAGTAGTTAACCTGTTGTTACTATGGTGACATTCTGGATTAAGTAGTGTCACCCATTGTTACCATGGTGACATTATGGATTCAGCAGCTCATTCTTCACCATCATAGTGACATTCTGGATTCAGCAACCTGCCCATTATTACCATGGTGACAATATGGGCAATTACTTGAACTTGAGTCATAACAGCTAAGAGAAAGGGGAATGAATTTGAAAATCATTAAAATCCATAGAGTTTAAGGCTGAAATTTATAACTACTTTAAATTCAAACACAAGTTCTGGTATATTTAGGAATCAGCTTAAATCAGGATATATCTTCCAAAAGAATATTTCAAATTTTTTTAAAAAAATAAAAATAAATCTACCCATTTTATATTTCTTGGACAAATGCTCTTCTGGTGACTCAGAAAAACAATACACCAGAGACTGGAAAAAGAAATACAGGGTGAATCAACCCACTGCTGCCTGCATTACTTCTGCCATTGCTGCTGCCTCTGATTCCACTGCTGCCAACCTGAGATCTCCTGGAGGTCTTCTTTCTGGGTGCTGCTGCCACAGAAGA